GATTTTCAAAATATTTTATTTTTTATTTTTTTTTTATTATATTTATACAATTTATTATTTATATAATTATTATTTATTATTATTATACATTTTTTTATTTTATTTATTATTTATACAATTTATTATTCAATTTTTGTTGCAGCTTTGTATCCTGGATTATGGAAAGCAATATTACAAATATCATGGTGGAACACACTGTGACATTCACATTGAGCTCTTATATATGAATTTTCTTTATAGCCTACCCCTTCAATTGGATCACTACTACACACAAAACAAGAACCTCTTTGTTTTTTATTTCCATCAATTGTAACATTAACGAGCTTTGGAAAAAAGATTGTATTTCTTGATGTTTTTCTAACACTTGATGTTTTGGATGCTAATTGGTTATTAGCTAAATGAAATATAAACTCTTTGAAACAGAATTCCTTCTCGCTATTTCTTAAATGCATGTTTGTAACTGCCATGCAATTGTGTAATATAGTGTACAAAACATCATTTAATATAACTCTTGGATAGTTGGGCGAGCGGTGGATATTTCTTTGTGGGTTTATAACCATTTTGGTTGAGTCAACAAAGTTGTGGTTATGGTTGTATAAATGAATTACTCTCGGCGTATTGATTGGTTTGGTTGTGTATCTATCAGTGTTTTTATCTTTAACTCTTGTAGATTTTTGAAGGTCCTCTCTTTTCTCTTTAAAAATTGGTTTTGGTATATTCGTTAAAGAGTAACCGATTGGTCCTCGGTCCACATTAATCTATTCTTTTCAAGTATTTTCCAATTTTCTAATTGACACCAAGCTCTTTCTATTAAGGAACGATATCTTGAAATACTTTGGTTTAATTCACACTTGGATTTTGGATATATTGGAAATATAACATTTTCACAGTATTGCCTAATTTTAGGAAATACTGCATCAGCAACCAAAAATTCTTCATCTGTAAGCAACCCAACAACTTTTAAACTAAGAAAATTTAATGATACCTGATCAGGTATAGATCCTTGGAAAGAATGAGAAAGATATTGAAACTTTCCTAATCCATCAACAATACCAATTATTGATATACATTCTATTTTTTCTTTGCCACTATGCATATTGTTTCTATACTGTTTTGTAGGTGCCCTGCTTGTTGGAGTTAGATTACCATCTATAAATACAGTAAAACCGTTTGAAATTTTGAATTGGTTTTTATCAAACCAGTGACCACGTGCTAACCTTTCTTCTAATTTAGGTTGTTTGTCAATTACCTATTGCAGAGCGCCCTATATCATTTGTTCCTCTTCTAACAGTTGATTCACCTCTTTCTCTGCCTAGTAACACCACCTCTAGCAGCACCATTTCTTCTTCCATCATCTCCATCTTCAGCTGTACCATCGCCTTGATCTTCAGATTTACCATCACTTTGATTATTATTATTACTAGTTACTAACGCCAATTCGTTAGTTTCTAACGCCAAAAAGAAGTTACTAACGCCAAAAAGAAGTTACTAACTTTCGGAATTACCATGCTTGGACACCAAAATAGTAAAAATTGTGATTTTTCAAAAATAAACATTTTTTAATGTAGATTTTAGGTTTGTGTAACTATAATTATAATAATTATTAACAAAATCTTAAAAAAATATATATTTTTTTTATTTAGATGATACGTACACATAAAACAATTTTTTCTTGACTAAATAGCTGTGGAATTATAACAGTATTATTTTTTGTTCTTACATCTGGATTGTAAGTTAATTCGTTATTACATAAATGTAAAAGAAAATCTCTAAATTTGTTCTGGAATATTTGTTAAAACATAGAAAGTTTTATCTTTTTTACACTTCCAAACTATTGCATGCATGAACCATTTTGATCATATTTTAACTCGCCTAATTCGAATCTCGTTTTACCTCTTATTACTGTTGTAATTTGATCGAATATATTGGTACAACGATTTGAAGTTATAGAAATAATAAAAAATATCCATTTAGCACCAATGTTTTCATATTTTCTATACCACCCAAAAGACCAGCATCAATAATTAAACACTTTTGTTTTTTGTTTTTTAAAGATTTAACTGTTCTATTAAAATCTCTTGACCGATTGGTGTTTTATCGGGTAGCAGGGGTACATTTGTGTGAATCTACAGTTTTCCATAAAATGTTGCCAACTCTATCAGCTTTACCAGGAATTCTTTTCTTTAAGCCACCTCTACCAGTCCATTTAAATAAATCATCATCCAATGATAACTCGTCGCTTGGTGCCCATAAATCTTTAATTGTTTTATTAACATCTTTATAAATGATATTCATATCCGTTTTCTTTTCATCTGTACCGAAACCTTCATAATGTAAAGCTCTATGAATAGATACTCTTGAAAATGACATTGTATTTGAAACAGCAGAATTAAAAAATAAAAACTGTGTGACTGAATTAGATTTGGTCCAAAATTCATTAATATTTGCCAATCTATTTAAACCATGGAAAATATAGATTGCAAAATAAGCTTCAATACAATACCATGGAGCAAGTTTATCTTTTTGTGTTTAACTACGTATTGTTAATTCAATATAAAGCTTTAGTGGTGTATCGGCCACACCTTCTCGAACCAAATTGATGATTTCGTTAATTGACAAAATACCTTCAAATTGCTTTATCCATTCGGTAAACCCGGTATGATTAATATTAATCTTGTGTTCAACTTGACAAAGAAAAGATGTTGTGTGCTGAATGCTAATGATAATTTCTTTATTAACCCTTAAAATGTTAGAGTACGGATGCATCTTTTTTTTTTTATTTTTTTTTAAAAAATATTATGCGGTTGGATCAAAACATGCCATTTAAAAATTTTTGACAAAAAAAAAAAAAAAAAATTTAATAAAAAATTACATTTCCCATATAAAAATTTCAAAAAAAAAAAAAAAAAAAATTTTTTTATAAATTTTTTAAAATGGCACAACAAAAAAATTTTATTTTTTTAATTTTTTTTTTTTTTAAAAATTTTGTTAACAGCTCTTGGTAAATAAAAAAATTTTATTTTTTTTTTAATTTTTTTTTGATTATCATTTTTTTTTATATTTTAATGAATTATTATGTGCTATTCCGATCAGTAAAAAATGGCAATTTACAAGCTTGCCATTAAATAATAATGATAATTTTTTTTTTTCATAAATTTTTACAAGGGGGTGTCTCGACAAAAAAAAATTAAGAAATGAAATTTTTTTTTTTTTTTTTTTTTATATATAATAAAAAAGTGATGCACATAAAAAAAAAATTTTCATTTCTGAATTTTTTTTTAAAAAAACTCCTCCAAACACCCCCTTGAATTTTTAAAAATTTAAATTCAATTATTAAAGAAATATTGGTGATTTTTCGACAGCTTATAATAATAACAAAAATAATAATAGAAATAATTTATAAAATAAAATTGAAGCACCAAATCCCAACTTTTTGATTGAATCTTTTTCAATCTTTTGATTTTTTTTTAAAATGGGTTTTTGTTTTTTCAATTTAATTTTTAATTTTTTAATTTCTACACCCAATTTTTTTTTTCTTATTCTTTTTTTTTTTTTTCAAAAACAAACACACACAATAATTTAAAAGTAAAAGTAATAATATTTAAAAATAATAAATTTCATTAAATGGATAATAATAGTGATATCAATATTTCTCAAAAGGAAGATAACCAAGAAGATGGTGATGCCAAAGTTTCTCAAGATCAAAAAATAGAAAAAAGAGATAAAAGTGAAGAAGAAGAGGAGAAAGAAGAGGAGAAAGAAGAGGAGAAAGAAGAGGAGAAAGAAGAGGAGAAAGAAGATGGTGAAGTGGAGGAGGAAAAAGAAAATGGAAACGGAGATGGGGTTCAAAATACCAATTTAGTAAATAGCATGATTCAGTTTATCATGGAAACTACAAGTAAAAATAATAAAAATAATGATTACCATTTCCAAAATCATCAAAACTTAAACAACCACCAAATACAATCTTTACTAAATGAAAAAGATGAAATTATAGAACAATATAATTACACAGTAAAATTTCACACAGAAAAATTTGATCAATTTAAACAAGAAAGAGATAGAGGTTATACAGGAACTAATAATTTAGGAGAGGTCCTTATTCATGTCATGGATGAAATAAAGAGAAAACACGTTCAAGCAACTGGAGAACTTGGAGAAATATATCACAGATTTTATGACTATTGTAATAATAATAATGGTAATAACAATAATAATAACAATAACAATAACAATAACAATAACAATAACAATAACAATAACAATAACAATAACAATAACAATAACAATAACAATAACAATAACAATAACAATAACAATAATAACAACAATTACAATTACAATAACAATAACAATAACAATAACAATAACAATAACAATAACAATAACAATAGCAATAACAATAATAATAGCAATAGCAATCCAGAATTGTCAACACCAAGTACACCTTCTGCAATTGAACCAAAGAAGCGTAAAATAGACAAGTTTGAACCAAGATATGAAGAGGGGGAGATTGAAAATGAAGAAACTAATATCAGTGACTCCAGTTTAACAGAAAGAGAAATTAAACTTTTAAAAAAGCTAAAATCAGAAAAACGTAAGAGAGTTAAATTACAAACAACTATTGGTTCTTTAAAAGACTCATTAACTAATAACTTCATGGACTATGAAATGGCACATATACAACTAAAACAAATAATCCTCAAAAAAAACAACAAAATCAAAACACTCAAAAATGATTTAAATGAAAAAGTGGAAACTATTTTAAAAATTAGGGAGTATTTTGAAAAAGAAAAAAGAACATTAGAAAAAGAAAAATAAGGTATCATATATTATCATTGTTATTTGTATTAATAGTTTACTTATTTAAATAAAGAAAAAAAATTAAAATTATAAGGTTTTTATTTTATTTAATGATTCTGTCTTTGTAAAAAATATTTTTATATTCATGTTTTATTTAAAATGTCTTAGTTTTGTTTATAAAACGGACGTAGAGTCATCGCCACATATTTTGTGGCTCTGATGTAATAGTTGTTGTTTTTTTGTAGTAGCAGCTGTTGTACAATTGTAGTCGTTATTATTTGCTATTCATGAATAAAAAAATAATTTAATAAATAACTACATTTTTTAAAAAAAAATTTTGATAGGTTAAAAAATACTTTCCTCAAATTGTTTTACTTCATTATTATTGAGAACAGAAACAATTTAACTCCAGTAGTGTATCAAAATGATTTATACATTCCAAACAATAAAAATTATAATTAAAAAGTTAAAATTTAAGTTTTTAAAACTTTAAAAAAAAAAAGATTGGAAGAAAAAACGAATTTATACAATTAATATATGTAAATGTGTTTTTATTATTTTATTAGTTTATTAGATGCTTTCTTTAATGTACTACTTTTATTTTTCAATGTTGCATTGATTCGATTTATTAAACATTCGAATTGATAACATTTCTTTATTATATGACCATTGATTCTGTTATATTAAAATCGGGGCTTTAAGGTTGTATTTAACCAACTGAAATATTGTTTTTTCTGATATACTCTTTAACTATCTTGGTAGTATGAGATGAGCAATTTTCATCACAAATTTCTGGAACCTCTCAGGCACCTGTAGCTAATATTATAATTTCTAAACTGATATTCTAAAAAATGATACACAATTCACTCTGAATTAAATATCCAGGACCATCATAGACAATGTTTCCCCACCTTTTCTAACTTGCTTTAATATGAATCTAGTAAAAGATTAGAGTCATAGATCTTTTATCATGGTATTTATCAATACCGGGCTTCATCCAATGATTTTCCCATTGTTCCACAGTCCAGTTTTCACGTTGATCAATGCCGGTGATGGATGTTATTACTGCTGGATTAACAGGATCTAAGTGTTATTTATACTAAAAATTGCCAAAAATGCTTCTTTTTTATTTTATTGAAAAACACAGAAGGTTAAACCAATTATAACGTTGCAACTAAAAAAAAAAAATAAAAAAAAAAGAAAAAAAAAGAAAAAAATTAAAAAATTAAAAAAAATTAAATTAAATATTTTACAAAAAATTTATTTTTATATTTTTGCAAAATCATTTTTTTTATTTTTTGCAAAACAATAAAATAGTTTTATAAATAAAAAATATGTATAAAGTTTATTAAATTTTGTTTTTACTTATTAACAGTTAGTTTGTATAAAGAAATTAGTATGTATTCTCTAATTATGTAGGTAATGTAAGTAACACTCACAGTTTATTTTGTTATGTTTTGTATTTGTTGTTTTAATTGTAATTATTATAATGTTGTCATTTTTTTATCGTTCCAATGTGTTTTCTTATTATTATTCTATATTTTGTTAATTTCAAAAAAAAAAAAAAAAATACTATCTTCACACACCCAACCAATTAAAAAATAGAAAAATAAATAAAAAACAATAGTGGTTATATAGCAGCATGCCAAAAAAAAACAATTTTTTTCAAACACACAAACATCAACAAACTCACACACAGAACATCACACATTTTCTATACTATTATAAATTTGATAAAATGATGTTATAATGAAGCAATAACAAATTTAATTATAATTTAAAAAAAAATATATATTTAAAATCGAAAATAACAATAATTCAATTAAAAGAACGGAAAAAAAAGTTTTTTATATATTAAATTACCAACCACAATATAATTTTGTCTCAAAAAACAAAGATGATAATAAAGAAAAGAAAAAATAAAGATAAAAATGGAATATAATAATAATTTTAGTATGTAATTAAATTAAATTATCTTAATTATTGTTTTTATTATAAATAAAGAAGAAAACAAATTAGATTCAATAGATTTGTGTTGATATCCCTCCCCTTTTTTCTACAAACAGTAGTGTTCGATATCAATACAAATTTTAATAAATAATATAATACAACTAATAATACAGCTATACAGTTTTACTTTCTAATCCATTTCAATTTTTTATAGTGTGTCTGTTGGGTATTTATTGGGTGTTTGTTGTGTGTTGTGTGTTGTTTGTTGTTTGTTGTGTGTTGTTTGTTGTGTGTTGTTTGTTGTGTGTTGTTTGTTCTTTATAATCTTATCTCACATATTATATTTCATCATATTTTTTCTTTTCTTATTATCATTCAAATAATTGTCTTATGGTGGAAACAAAATATATTTTGTAGTATATATATATATATATAAATAAATAAAAAAAAGAAAAAAAAAAATTAGAATACAACAACTTAAAAAATTTAGGTTTTTAAAAAAAAGAAATTTATTTAATCATTGCTACCATATATCACAATTAGCCCCCCCAATTCACAAAAAAAAAAAAAAAAAATTAAATTAATATTAAAAATTATATTATGTTTTTAAAAAAATATTTAAAACTTTTATTCAAACCCAAAAAACATATACAAATAATAACAATAATAAAAACAAGTATGTGTTTATTGTTAATAGACAATGCAACTAATTTTGGATGATTAAATAAAAAAAAATATTCTTTTTTTTTGTAATTTTTTTTTATTTGCTTTAAATATTTCATTTCATTTATTATTATCTATAAATTCTTGAATTATAAAGAAAATTTATAATTTTTAATGAAAAATGTCTGATTGTCTTCCTGAGGTAATTATTCTAAAATATAACTTTTTCTTAAAGCTTTATACTAATAAAATGTTTTTTTGTTTTTTAAATTTTATTTAACAATTAAACTTTATTAGATTGTTAAAAAAGTAACATTACCATCAATTAAAGATTGTATCAGCCCTGATGCTTTCAAAAATCTACCCCCAAGACAAAAATTTATCCGTAGATTAACAGATCCATCAAACTACTGTTATTCAAGAAAAAGACTCGCTATCTCAAATTCGAACGGTGATCCATCTTATATCTTTGATGATTCTTGGTCACTCAATACTCTCCGAACTGATTATGTCCAAGTTAATGCATATCCAAACTACAACAATGGTTTTCTTGTTCAACCAAATTTCTATGATTTGAGTACCCAACAAACTCAATCAAATGTATCGCAAACCGTTCAAACCCACTCAAATTTCCATATGAATACCCTGCAAACCCATCCAAATGTATCGCAAACTGGATACCAACCAACCCCAGAATATCTAACTGCAATAAGGATGCAACAATTTCATCAATTTCATATCTGGAATCTAGAAAGACAACAGTTAAATCAACTACAACAGATTGGACAACAGTCTCTACAACAACAACAACAACAACTACAAATACAACCACAATACTCACAATACTCACAATACCTACAATACCTACAATACCTGCAATACCTACAATACCTAAAATACCTACAATTACCACCAGTACAATTTCAACAACAACAAATTCAATCGACAAAAACATAGAGGTTAAAAAAAAGAATGACCTTTATGTAATTCATATTCCTGAAATACAAGACAAAAAATTTGGAATAAAAATATTTAATTTTGTAATTCTCTTTTTTAATAAAAAGAAATAATTAATTAAATAAATAAAATCAAATTTGAATATATTTTAAAATTATTTATTTTTATTTTATTATTTATTCTATAGATGTTGCTTTATTTTTGGAGCTAATAGCTTCCAGAAAAGGTATAGAGTTTAATCTTTCGCCCATATTTTTGTTATTATAATTATTGTTATATATTGTATTTTCAATTAAAATTTCCATATGTTTTCATCTTGAATACCATTTCTAAGATTATCTTGATAATTTGCGAAATTCATTAATTATTCATATGCATTTTTATTACCAATTTGAGTCCATTATAATTATTATTACTATTACTGTGATTAAGCAGCCTCTTTTCTATTATTTCTATAAATTATTTTATATCGTTAGTTGATACTAAATATCTTTGTAAAATCAATTTACCACGTTCTGCTATGAGAAATTGTATTAATATTTACCTTTAACTCTTCAAAGCTTCAATTATTAAAAACTTTACATTTATTTAAGAAATAAAGGAATTTTCATTTTCTTTTTTTGGATAAAGGTTATTATATCTTTATTTTAGTTACATTATCTAAGTTGATATTGGAAAAAAAGTTGCTGAAACAAAACTATTTACTCTATATTTTTTATTACTAATTGGATTATTATATGATTTAATACTAATTAGTTCACTGCTAATTCTATTTAATTGGCTCTATATGAAAAAATTTTAGCTTAATATATTTTTAAAAAATTTTTAAAAAAAATATTTATAATTATATATTTACAACTGTTGATTTATGTGCACCCAATTTTTTGCAATTTTTGAGCCCGACTTATAAAAACAGAGGTCATAAGTCAACATTGAGTATCGTACTTTATCACTTAACCTCATTTATTTTTTACTATAAATTATTTTTAAACTTTTAATTTATTTTAATTTTTTTTTATAATTTAATAAAGGGTTACAGCTAAATAAAAAGGCGGTAAAAAATAAAGAAATTTTTTTTTTATTATTTATTTTACCCTTTTTTATTTTTATTTATAAAAATTAATGATTACTAAGGTTATTCATATAAAAAATATTATTGGTAAATGATAAAAGTTGGGGGTCTACATATTCCGGCACTCTATATGATTTATATTGAGAAATGAATTTATTTCACTCTCTTATATTATAAACATCATGCTTTGGTTTCAGAAATGTGATAATTAAAAAAATGAAATAAAAAAAAAAAATTTATAAAGATATTTTTAAAAAACTTAATAATAAATTTTTTTTTTTTTTAATTTTTTTTTTATTTTTTTTATTTTATTTCATTTTTTTAATTAAGATAATAATGAACAAACATATAATCAATTGATATAATTTAGAGAAAAAGATACTCTTCATTTAGAGAAATCACTAATTCTAGATAATTTCTAGAATGTTCCAGTGTTATTATTTTATATAAAATGTCTATATAACTTTTTTAAAAAAAAAACGTTATAGGTTCAAATTATAAATTTTTCAAAAACCAACTAACAATTGTTGATATAATAATAATAATATGAATAATAATAGTAATAATAACAATATGCATAATAATATGAATAATAATAATAAAACAATTAATAATAATTAATAATAATAGTGGAATTATTAAAAAAATAAAAATGACAATAACAATGTTATGTCTCATTAAATAATTTTTTTGTTATAATTTAAAACAATAGTATTCTTAGTTTATTGCTTTTGTTTTTATATATTTGTTTTTATATATTTGTTTTTTTGTGTATGGAACATTATGTTTACATTATAACTATTCCAACATTGTAAATTTAAGTGTTTTGTTTTTGATATGTAGATAAAAAAAATATTAAAGGAATAATAAATCTATTAGCTTTTTTATATGAATGAAAACTGTTTATCATAAAAAAATTAGGAAAGTGTTTGTGGTATTTGCATATTATTTTTTATTATAATTTAAATTTTTTTTGTATTTTTTTAATATTAATATTGTTATTATATTTAGGTAGTGTGATTAAATTTTTCACAAGTAGTAACTATCTAAATACAAAAAACATTTTTACTCACCCCTATTCACCCAT